CATGAGGCAAGCCTGGCAATGAAGGTCACTCAAAGTAGAATAAAAAGCTTCTTGATATTGAAAGATTATAATAGCTTTAGGATGCCTGCTTAAACTTTCTAATGAGAGACAAAATTGGATCTTGTTTAAAGCACTGTTATTAGAGTAGTCTGATATTTTCAGCCAAACTTAAGCCTAAACAAGATAACTGTATTATTAAACTTTGGCATAAATTTAAAATATTACATCTTGAAATGAGGTCAGCAAAAAAGTGTAATTAGAAATATTCTACTCAGGCCAAGCGCATTGGCTCACGCCTGTAATCCCAGCACTTTGGAAGGCCAAGGCAGGCAGATCACAAGGTCAAGAGACCGAGACCATCCTGGCCAACATGGTGAAACCCTGTCTCTACTAAAAATACAATAATTAGCTGGGCGTGCTGGCACGTGCCTATAGCCCCAGCTACTCAAGAGGTTGAGGTAGGAGAATCGTTTGAACCTGGGAGGTGGAGGTTGCAGTGAGCCGAGATCACGCCACTGCACTCCAGCCTGGGCGACAGAGCAAGACTCCATCTCAAAAAATAAAGAAAGAAAGAAAGAAAGAAAAAATATTCTACTCAATAACCAAAGATCATACTCCAAAGACAGGTTCTTTAAAAACAAATAACAATAATCTAAAGCCTTTTATTATCTGTAATATAAACAATGTACTTTTTAAGATTTCAAGATTTTTCATATTTACTTCTCTTGAAGACCTAGGCATAAGAGATAGATTTTCCATATGCTTGATAAAAATTGAAACATCTGAAGGATCATATATATATTTTTTATTTTGGTAGAAGCCTCAGCATTCTGGAATATATTTAAGGCTATATCAAGGCCAAGAAGTATATACCAACAGTAGTGTTTCACTTTTGAGTCTCATCCAGGAACTTAACTGTGCACCAGTGAGTGGCACTCAAATAAAGAAAGGTGGAACTATCAATGCCATTATGAAACACGATCATAAAAGGTGTTTCCCAGTAGTATCCATCTTGGTAACTCTGATGCAAAATCTTTCACTATCTTAGTGCTACGGGACAGGGCTGCAAATTTAGAGTAATTCCTTAGCAAAAAAATAAAAAGGGCACTGAAGTTGGCTGGCTATATATTAGGTATTAGAGATGAAATAGTAGATGACAAAATTTGCATAGACCTGATTTGCAGGACTGCCTATGCCATGAAAGAAAGAAAGAAGGAAATATTCAGAGCGAAAGAAGGAAATAATCATGAAGTGCCTATACTCTGGCAATTTCAATTTTTAAAAAGTCTCATTAAATATCTTTTTAACCTTGGATAAGTTGCTTTATCTCTTCCTATACTCTGGCAATTTCAGTTTTTAAAAAGTCTCATTAAATATCTTTTTAACCTTGGATAAGTTTCTTGACCTCTTTGTGACTCAATAGTCTTACTTATAAAACAAAAGGGTTACAGTATATCATTTATTCCTATATAGATATAGATATAGATACATAGATAATTCCAAATCATTTATCCACAGATATCCACATGGCTCACTTCCTTGCCTGTTTCAAGTATCTGGTCAAATGTGAACTTTCAGTGAGCCCTACCCTCACAACCATAATTAATTATCATCCCATGGTTCAATAAGGCTCTGTACATTTATTTTCCTTTATTCTCTTTGTGCTTCATTTTGGCATGTTTCCATCACGTCTTCAAGTTAATTAATCTCTTTTTCTTGCAATATCTACTACTCTACATCTAATTCCACTAAATTTTTATTTCAGATATTTTGTTTTTCATCTCTAGAATTGAGTTTGGTTCTTTTATATATTTTCCATTTCTCTCCTCAATGTATGCAACTTCTTGTAAATATCTGAACATAGTTATGATACCTCTTTTAACATATAGGTATTTAATATACCTGCTAATTCTATCATCTGTGTCATTTCTCAGCCTATTTCTATTGGCTAGTTTCTCTCCTGTTGGTAGTTCTCACTCCTTTGCACCTCTAGTAATTTTTTTATTGAATATTTGGCACTGTTATATTTAAGTTGTATGTCTCCATCTTATTGTATTCCTTTTAATGATGTTGGGCTACAACAGTATTGTATTCCTTTTAATAGTAACAGTTACTTGCTATTTTGTTTCCTTCAGAGGCTGATTTACAAGTTTGTTTAAGGTGAGTCTAGGGTAGTCTTTATAAATAGTTTAGCCCCACAGCTAAGGCCTAGCCCTTTTGGTCTCTACTGAATGTCCTAAATAACCAATGAGAATGGTATGCGATGGACAGTAGGAACTTCAATGCCTTCTGCCCTGTGTAAGGGTGGGAATCATTAAGATCACAGCTCCAAGGTTATTCTTTGCCAAACCCTGTGAGGTCTCATCGCCCCAGGGGCTCTTTTTCTGCATAACTTTCTCCATCTCTGGAATTTTATTCTATAATTTCTAGTCATTTCTGCCTCCCTAAACTTCAGTTCCTGTCTCTACAACTCAGAAAGACTGCTGAGCTCAGTTTAAGATGTCCTATTCTACTCTGTATTCTGAAACGTGCCTTGAGGCAGAAAGCTAGGGAAATCCTAGGGCTCACCTTTGTTTCCTTTCTATGAGGAATCACACTCCTGCACTGCCTGTTATCCAATGTCCAGAAACTGGGGAATTTTCCCCATATATTTTATCCAGTTTGTTAGTTGTTTACAGCAGGAATATAAATCTAAACCCTGTTAGTCTATCATGGCCAGAAGCTAAAGTTCTATAGTTTGAATTTATAGCATTATCTACCAAATCTACAACATTATCACACATCTTCATTTATTATTATCTTAGCAATAGTCAAGGTGTCTTAAATTTAAAAGGCTTCTATTATTTTAACTCTGTACTTATTACGTTGACATGAGAAGTAATATATAAACATGTAAGATAAAATGGGTTATATCTTTTAAGTATCATTTATGGAGTATTCTGCTTTTTAAGTTTTCATCTCCATTCCAGAAATTTTCATGAATAATTCCAAATTAAGGTTTATAACATTTCAAAACCTAGGGTAAACAAATGTCATAGCTTTTAGGGGTTTCGTTGTTTTGAAGAATATACAGATTCTCTGGAAGATTATTTAGAATTTTGTGAAAATCGATTATCTTCATGTAGAGCAGCAAGTCTTTATTCTGGCTTAGTCCACCCTATGTGACTATATCATTGAAGTAGTGGCATTCTGTTGTTAACACATCCCCAGCCCTAAACACATGTCCCCCTGCAGCTAGCCACTTAACATTGGCTGAATTTGGAAGAGGAAAAGGTCTGCTTCTAACTGAATAATTAAAAAGCAAAATCAAACCCAGTGCAGTATCAGCAGGTCTTGTTATTCATGTGTCAAAATCACCATATAACTTGTTGGGGATGAACTTAAAATCAACATTGGACCATAGGTTGTGATGATATAAATTTAAAAAATAATTTTAATGAGAACTCAGAAATAAAATTAACATTTCTCCACTGTAATATGTAGTTAAAAAATAAACTGTGTATTTTACAACAATGTGATTATACCTAATGCTACTGATTTATACCTAATGCTACTGAAAATGGCTTAGTTAAAAAACAAACAAAAACCAACAACCAAAAAAGGTAGGCAGATGTGCAAAAGACTATGAATACTTTAACAAACTCGTTACAATTTATGAAGCAATATAAATAATAATTAAAACAGTGATTGATAACTACATTTAGATGTATGTACATACTCTAAGAAATCATAAAATATATTTTTAATCTAAAAAAGATTGTATCCTTTAATTAAAAATAAAGTGTTAAAACATAATTCTAAGTAAAGAAAATGTTTAGCAAAGAGTATTATCAAGAAAAGAGAGAGTACCACTGCCAAGTTCACCAGAGAATTAAAAATAGTGGGCACCCAAGGGGGAAGAAATAGAATTCATAAACAATAAATGTTATATTCAACTCAAGGCCTTTTACCTTTGGTGACTGCTCACAGTCACCAAACAGGGCAATCACAAGCATTAGCTGGATGCTTATTAATTTTTATGCAAGCTTGAGAGAATATACATTTGGTGAAATAATAATGTCCTTATCTATAAGAAAAACACCTATAGGATATCTGATGGTTCTAAAGATGGGGGAACACCAAAGACATAAAATGCAATTATCCTTAATTCTAAAGAAAAGAACCATAGTTCATATTAATAATTTAAAATAAAAAACAATGTGTTATGTTTTCATATTTTATAAATAATGATGAGAAATTACGTTTTTAGCTTTTGTTATTTATTTTCCCTCATTACAAATTAATTTCTTATAAAAACATAAAGTATAATAAAGAAGGCAAAATAATTATCAGATCAACTGGTATCATTTATGAATTGATATGTGATTGGTATGAGTTTACATATAAACTTTTCCACGCATATACAGATGCATTTCAAAATCTGTGATCACATACTTTATATTTGCATAGAAGATCTAGCAGAGAATATGAGAGAAAGGGGAAGAAAGATGATTAAGGTGTACTGTGGTTTTCAAGAATTCACTTGAAGGAACATACTATTGAGAGACAATTCTCCATGGGTCTCTTAAGTAGAGGTAGTGATTGTCTTTGTTCCCTACTGTGTTTTAAAGGATATTTGTATAGCGAATAGCCTCAGAAGACAGAAATATGATCCTGCTTCTGAGCAAAGGGCAAGTGTGCTTACACCCTCGCAAAGGAGACACAGCGCCTCCCTCTGGAGGAAAGGGCAGGCACGCTTTCTATCCATTATAAAAGGTTCAGGTTCCCTAAATTCAGAATTCCTCGCCCCTTTCATGTCACCTTATGGAAACTGGGCTCAGGGCACTAACACAAGAAAATGCTAATACTGTGATTATTGCTAACGTTGTGGATAATAAAGTTCTTTGTCTCCAGCTGAGGAGTCTCATGTCTTCGGCCAGCATCCATGAAATTGTGGATGCTAACTTGCTAGCTTAGAAGTGGAGTAAAATCATAGTCCCTTTACAGTACTTGACACATACCTGTTACCGTTTTTGTTTTTATAGGGCTGCTGGCATATTCAGAGGCCTGATATGATTGCTGCTTTGCCAAGGGTGCACTTCCAATAGACACCTCATCCTCTTTCCTTCTACAAACTGGCATAACAAGAGGAATAGCTACCACAGGCTGCTGGAAAGAGCCAAAATGAAAAACTTTTTAGTTTTTAGTTTTTAACTATTTCTTAAGCAGTAAAGGTTAAACATGGCAATACTGAGGACAGTACTTCACAAGTTGGGGCTGAGACTTCATTATTTTAAATCAATCAATCTCTCCCTCCTTCATCTGTCCCTGTACCCCGACTTTTCTCTCTCTTTCTCTCACACACACACACACAAACACAGAGCAATGCTTATCCACTTAAATTTTAGATTAAAATTCTGAGTGAAAACCAAAGAGCCTGTAAGTACCCAGAAAACTTAAGTTTTAGTAAGAAGTATTAAAATAATATGGAAAGAGCAAGATAGAATTTAAATTCACTTTGAAAATTATGTTCTCAAAAAAATGGAAAAGTATCCTTATAAAGTTATCCTTATAAAATGGCATTTTTAGAAACATACTTTTACAAACTGATTGTGTACATGTTAATATGGATACTCCAACTTTTTTGAAGAATACTGAAAATCTCTATATTTTGTCTGACAAAAGATATCCATAGCATATTCAGAAAGCAGAGAAAAATATCTACTTAGAGAAAGCTGGAAAATATTATGAACCTCTATTGAATGCATGCGGGCTGAGCTGGACAGTAAAGCAGCTGTTTCATCTTTATTCACTGAAATAAAGTCTAATGTTACTGCTGATGATGCCCAATACAATTTTGTCATATTATTGGCAAAAAAAAAGGCACTTTTAAGTTTGCCATAGGATCAAAGATCAATGTTGAAGTGGGTGGAAAACAATCATCAAATGTTGGGTTTTAGCCACAGTTTGAGAAGGAAATTGTAGCTTGGGAAACAACAGATGATAACTGTAACACAGTTGTATCAGATGGTAAATCTGGCGGTGGTTGGTCAGGCTGCAGTGTAGTCTAAGGTTATCTTCAATACTACAACCAAAGTTTTATAGATCCAACCTTAAGCCTCACCCAACTTAAAATACTCAATATTATTTACATTACGAAAAAATATTTCAATGAAAACTTGTTTATTATATAACTATGTAATAAAATCAATCATGTTCTGAAACATGGAAAAGGGCATATTATTTTACAAGTTGCTAGTCACATTGAGTAAAAAAAAAAGGAAAAGAAATTAGAGGCCAGGCGCAGTAGCTCACGCCTATAATCCCAGCACTTGGGAGGCCAAGGCGGGCGGATCACGAGGTCAGGAGATCGAGACCATCCTGGTCAACACGGTGAAATCCCATCTCTACTGAAAATACAAAAAATTAGCCGGGCGTGGTGGCAGGCGCCTGTAGTACCAGCTACTCGGGAGACTGAGGCAGGAGAATGGCGTGAACCCGGGAGGCAGAGCTTGCAGTGAGCCGAGATCACGCCACTGCACTACAGCCTGGGCGACAAGAGTGAGACTCCATCTCAAAAAAAAAAAAAAAAAAATCGAAAATGAGAAAAGGAAAAGATTACATAAATTATCGGAAGCATCATAACATAGAGTACCTGCTTTTATATTTGGTATTTAGTCAAACTGATAATACACAAATCTAAATTGGAAATCATTTTTAAGATCTAGATGAGAAATGCTCCACATATTGTTAAGTCTTGATGCATTTAAATTTCCTCATCTAAAAAATAAGAGGGGGTGGAGATGGTTACTGGAAAACCTCTTTATACTCTAATATTTAGTGACTCCATAATCCCTTGAATTTCTGCCCATTTATATTTGGAATACAATCCAAACTCTAAAAAGTTATAACCAAGTTCAGGATTAAAATTAATATACAGCTGGCCCTTGAATACATAAGTTTGAATCACATAAGTTCACTTAGTTCACTTACATGTGGATTTTTTTCCACCTCTGCCACTTCTGAGACAAGACGAACCCATCCTCTTCCTCCTCCTCAGCCTACTATTCAACATGAAGATCTTCAGGAATGATCTACTTTCGTCCTATATAGTATTTTGTCTTCCTTATGGTTTTCTTAATAACATTTTCTTTTCTCTAGTTTACTTTATTGTAACAATACCACATATAATGCATATAATATACAAAATATGTGTTAATTAACTATTTATGTTATCGTTAAGGCCTCTGATCAACAGTAGGCTATTAGTTAAGTTTGGGGGAACTCAAAAGGTATACATGAGTTTTTGACCAAGCAGGGAGTTGGTGTCCCTAGCCCTCGTGTTGTTTGTTTCTAGGGTCAACCATAGAATGAGTAACTAGAGGAAATTTATGTGCTATACAGTGTAAATTCAAGCACAATAGCCGAAAGATGCAACTAATAAAAGCACAAAGTTAAAACTCCATGTAAAATTTTATAGATCCAGTTCATGGTACTGGTAATACTAAACAACAAACAAAAAATACCTTTGGGTAGCTAAAACTCTGGGTGTATTTTTTTTTCTTTTTGAGACAGAGTCTCACTCTGTCGCCCAGGCTGGAGTGCAGTGGTGCAATCTTGGTTCACTGCAACCTCTGCCCTCCGGGTTCAAGCGATTCTCCTGCCTCAGCCTCCTGAGTAGCTGGGATTACAGGCGCCTGCCACCGTGCCCAGCTAATTTTTGTATTTTTATTAGGGATAGGGTTTCACCATCTTGGCCAGGCTGATCTTGAACTCCTGACCTCATGATCCACCGGCCTTGGCTTCCCAAAGTGCTGGGATTACAAGTGTGAGCCACTGTGCGCAGCCAACTCTGAGTGTATTTTCACCCAGGCAAGAATTAAAAGGCCAAACAAAACTACTTTCTAACACAAGAGTAAGGCTCTTGTATGCCCTGTACACAGCTGTATACAAAATACTTACATTTGTTGAATGACTGCTAATAAAGATGCTGCATGTCAGGCATTAAGTGATACCAAATAAGGAGTAAGACCAGTGATTTCCTCCACTATTCTAGAAATATGGCTACCTTGCTCAAAAACATCGAAATAAGCAGTATTTATTTTTAACAACCTCCTATTACCCTGCTTATATTCTTTTTCCTTCTGGTACTGTAGCTCTCCTCAAATTTCAGTTGCACTCTAGTCTCAGAGCTGTTCTATCTTTAACTGAAAACTGTCCCATAACCCAAAATACCTAAAGCTTGTCATAGCTGCATCATATAAAAGGTAACCATCTTTCACTAATTATTAATTTAACAAATTAAAATAATACTAGAAGGTTACAAAGAATACAACATACCTATTATAACCAATAATTAATGGCTATTAACAGTTTATCATATTTGCTTTTTTAAAAAAAGTATTCTAGATAAAACTAAAATCCCCTTTGACTGCCAACCTATTGTCCTTTCCTCCCAGAGTCAACCATTATTATGATATTAGTACAAATCCTTCAACTTAATTTTTATACCTGTATTCACTTACAGACACACATACACATACACATTAAGGGCAGTTTTAGAAAAATATAGGTAAGTGCTCTCATATTGCGAAATGGCTTTTGCATCAAATATAATTTGAGATGTCCATACTAAGGTCTATTGTATAATTTTTAATAAATGTTATATCATGTGACTATTTCATACTTCATCAACCTTCTTACAAATTTTCATTTAAGTTTTCAAATTTTCACATTATTGTAAAGAATATGCAACAGCAGTCTTACACACTATTCCTTAGTTACATGAATTTCACTCTAAGAGCGTACCTGCATCAAGAAGTACAAGTTTGGGGTTATAAGTTCACAAATTTTCAATTTTATTAGATACTGACAAATTTATCAAGTTTTCACTCACAACAACAGTAATCATTCTCTACATTTTCACCAATACTGTATATTGGCATTTTTTTTCACTTAACAGATTTTAAGAGTAAAGATGAGTGGTCATGACTTGATAATTATTGAACCTGGGTATGGAAACATATTGCTCTACTATGCAATTCTCTCAATTTTCCATAGTGGGGTGAGGTGGGGGGAACATTCAAGAGGAAAATAGTAGAATAAGGACATTTTTAAAGTATATTTTTAAGTACGCCAAACTGTAGTAAAATAATAATGCTATCAATTGCTGTTGAAAATGTAAACTGGGCTGGATATGGGGCTCATGCCTGTAATCTCAGCACTTTGGGAGGCTTAGGTGGGTAGACCACTTGAGCCTAGGAGTTTCAGACCAGCTGGGGCAATTTGGTGAGACACCACCTCTACAAACAAATATATATTTTTTTTAATTAGCCAGGCATGGTGGTGTGTGTCTGTGGTCCCCACTACTCAGGAGGCTTAGAAAAGAGGATCACTTGAACCCACAAAGTCAAGGCTGCAGTGACCTGTGATCACAGCACTGCACTTCAGCCTGGGCAACAGAGCAAGACCCTGTGTGGAAAAAAAAAAAGAAAGAAAAAGGAAAAAGAAAATGCAAACTGTATACCAATTTTGGAAGCAATTTGGTGATATAACAAAAGTCTTAAAATATGTTTCTATAATGCAAAATACTTGCCTAGTGCTACTAATTACACTTGTAAAAATATATTCTAAGTGAATAAAGATGAATGCAAAGATTTAGCTATGGAGACATATACTCCAACATTATTTGTAACTCTGAATGAGTAGGATTATGGTATTTGTTAGTTTACCTTTTATTTTTATTATGTTTAGAGATGGGGGTCTCAACCTTTTGCCCAGGCTGGAGTATACTGGTGTGATCATTGTTCACTGCAGCCTCCACCTCCCAGGCACAAATAATCCTCCTGCTTTAGCCTCCAGTGTAGCTGGGACTACAGGCCTGCACCACCACGCAGACCTAATTTTTATTTTCTGTAAAAACAGAGTCTTGCTATGTTCCCCGGGCTGGTCTTGAACTCCTGGGCTCAAGCAATTCTCCCACCTTGCCTCCCAAAGTATTGGTATTGCAAGTAGTTTCGCTTCTAAATAGAGCATTGTTTCTGAATTAGAAAAATATACATATAATTATGTGCCACATAACAATGTTTCAGTCAACAATGGATTGCATACATGATGGTGGTTCCATAAGATTATAACACCACATTTTTACTATACCTTTTCTATGTTTAGACATACAAATACTTACCTTTGTGTTACAACTGCCTAAGGTATTCAGTACAGTAATACTCTGTATAGGTTTGTACCCTAGGAGCAATAGGCTATACCAGAGATGGGTTATAGCCCAAACGTCTAGCAGGCCATACCATGTAGGTTTGTGTAAGTATACTCTATGATGTTTGCACAACAACAAAATTGCCTAATGATGCATTTCTCAGAATGTATCCCCATCATTAAGGGGCACGTGATTGCATATTCATTTTAAAAGCTGTAATTTTTTAAAAAGTTAAAAATCAAAATATTTGAATATGCTTGGTATCAATTAAATGAATGTCTAATTTATTTAAGCTGCTAGAACACTCTACTTGACCTTCAGGGATATCTATGGTACACTGGAAATAATTGTATTACTTAGAGAATAACCAATCAAGAATTTACAAAGAAAATTTTTCCAGACTGGTTACTGCCATTAGTCTAACTTCTGTAGCACTCATTCTCTATATTCTGCTAGAGTAAACTTTCTAAAATCCAGCTCTGTGAATACCAGTTTCCTATAGCTCCTCTTTACCCTTCAAAATGAAGTCTCAAATACCTAGGACTACAAATCTTTTTTTCAGAAATTGATTTCCAATTTCTCCCAGTCTCTACAAGAACACTTCACTCCATTCTGGAACCACTGAAGTCTTTCTTGCCATGCTTTTGCATCTTCTTTGCCTTTGCTCAAACAGTTCAGTCTAAAACAACCTTCCCTGTCTGGCTCACTCCTAGATACTCAGCTTAGTTGTTAATTCCTCCTTTTCACACACTACCCTGCTTGTGAGAACTATTCCTCTTTTTTGTTTTCACATAATCCTGGACATACATATACATAGTAATTACTAAAAATGGCATTACTATATCCCTTAAGATTCTCAAATACACTACATACTCTCAGAGGGAGGGATATTCTCACCTATGACTTTCATTTCTGTGGCCATGGTGTATAGCATACTGCCTTACATTCTGTAACTACTCATTGAAAGGAAAAATGGGGACAGGTATGGCAGAAGTTTCAAATAAAATTAGGATAAAGTGAAGAAAAACCTTTAAAACGTGCTCCTTAGAGAGTATTTTTTGTTAAACTTTTTAATTCTTATATAATTATAAAATTGTGAATTCTTCTCCAATCAACTAGCTTGAAGTTACTTCAGAAAAAAGATACAAAGCTATTCCATATAGGATATTGCAAAATTATACTTAAGTTGATGGGAAATTATAATTCAATAAAGCACAAATTTGGCCTCAAAAATTCTTAGTTCTGTCATTTACTTACAGCTGTTTGACTATACATAAATGAATCTCAATAAACATCAGTTTCTTCATCTTTAAAATGAAAATAACAAAACTGTCAGATTTATGTTTAAGTATTCTAGAAACTATAATTGTCTACTTACTACTTTGTAATTCATACCTTTTTAAACAAACATATATTCCAACCTTTTTTGCACCAATCATCCCAATCCAAGAATTAGGTATTCAATGCATGTTTTTTGAAAAAACCTAAATATGACAAGGAAAGATAGAGATAAAAATAAAAGCTGGCCAGGAGCTGTGGCTCACACCTGCAATTTCAGCACTTTGGGAGGCCGAGGCGGGCGCATCTCTTGAGGTCAGGAGTTTGAGACCAGCCTGGCCAACAGGTGAAACCTCATCTCTACTAAAAATACAAAAATTAGCTGGGTACGATGGTATATGCCCATAATCCCAGCTACTCGGGAGGTTGAGGCATGAGAATCACTTGAACTTGGGAGGTGGTCCCAAGAAAATCACTTGAACCAGGGAGTGGGCCAAGATCACGCCACTGCACTTCAGCCTGGGAGGCAGAGTGAAACTGTGTCTCAAAACAAAACAAACAAACAAAAATGCCAATTCTTTTATTGAGCAATTCTTATGTATTGCACACCATGAGAATGGACATGTAGGCACTATGAAAGAATGAAGACTGGTGAAATAGGACTCCTAAACTAGTTTCTGTTTTATAAGCCATTGTACAGAAAGCCCCTTTAGTAGTCAAAGAAACTTTATAATGACATGCAATTTCTCATGCAAAAATAAGGGAACGGAATTGTTTGAAAGGGGAAAAGTGGAGAGACAAAGGAAATCTGGTACATTTGTTAAAAAAGAATCAATCAAAAGACATATATAATTCTACTAAATGAATAAGAAAAATATTTGTTAAGAGAAAAAACTATTTAAAAATCTCTTACCTGTTGCATATGTCTACTTGTTCGTTTCTGAGGCTGATAGATGAGCCATGTATATAAGATTGGGTCAATATTAACTGCTAGTCCTTGTATACTGCAAAGAAGTACAGCACCTAGAAGATAAGATTTTTAAATTGTTATATAATTCCTCATAAAAAACAATAAGCTATTTATCACTTTACACCATGTAGGATAGCTGTGACATAATAGACAAACAGTAACAAGCGTTGGAAAGGATGTGGAGGAATGCAAACCCTGCTACACTGCTGGTAGGAATGTAAACTGGTACACCCACTTTGGAAAATACTATGGCATAACTGGGTCATATGGTAACTATATGTCTTTTTGAGGAAATATGGACACCGAAAACTTATGTCCACACAAAAACGTGTATTCACATGCTCATATCAGCATAATTTATAACAGCCAAAAAGTGAAATCAATATAAATTTCCATGAGTTGATGAATAAACAAAATGTGGTATTTCCATACAATGGAAAAGTATTCATCCATAAAAAGAAATGAAGTACTGATACATGCTACAGCATTGATGAATCTCGAAACATTAAGTGAAATAAGCCTGACCAAGAAAACATATATTTTAGAATTCCACTTATATGAAATTGCCGCAAGAGGCAAAAACATAGAGACAAAAAGTAGATTTGTGGTTACCAGGGCCTGTGAGAGGGGAGAGTAGAAATAACTGCTAAGAGGTATGTAGTTTGAGAGTGATAAAAATACTCTGAAATTAGAAAACAATTGTAGAACCTGGTGAATATACTATAAACCACTGAATCACACAATATAAAATAATTGTATGGAAAGTGAATTACATCTCATTAAAAGTGCATTTGTCCATAAAATATAATAATAAGCTCAACTTTTTAGGCAAAGAACAATTTTTATATCGGCCCTGAAAATGGAATACGTTAGGTAAAATATTCCTAAATAACTTTTTCATTATATTAAAAAATTGATTCATGATTTGAAATAAATTATTATAATCATTCAATAAATCATTAAAAATTACAATTTTTAATGTTCAAAAGCAAAGAAAAAGAGCAGCCTAGATTAAATGCAGGCCAACATTCTGACATAAAACACAAAGCTGAAGTGTAACAGGTTGCAATTCCAACCTACTAACTAACCTATTTTTTGTCCCTTTCTGATGAAAAGTAGTTCAAATAGAACTTACCTAAAGCAGAATATACAATTCTCAATTTATGTGCAGGTTATATACATCTCTATATAAGTTTCTGTACTTGTACATATATTTTTAATACAAATATTATTAGCTCCACTAGGATATATGAAACATAAAGGAAGGGATATTTGTCAATTTTGTTATCAGCTATACCTGTAGCATATAGCAAATATGCCATCATACTGAATAGGGAAAAGCTGTTGCATTCCCCTTGAAAACTGGCACCAAACAAGATGCCCTCTCTCACCACTCCTATTAGACACAGTACTGGAAGTCCTGGCCAGAGCAATCAGGAAAGAGAAAGAAATAAAGCCCACCCAGATAGGAAGAGAGGAAGCCAAACTATCTTTGCAGACAACATGAAAATATATATCTAGAAAATCCCATAGTTTTGGCCTAAAAGCTCCTTAAGCTGATAAAGAACTTCAGTGAAGTCTTAGGATACAAATTCAACATACAAAAATCATTAGCATTTCTATACACTAACAACTGTCAAATTGGGAGCCAAATCAGGAATGCAATCCATTCACATTTGCCAAAAGAAGAATCAAATACTTAGGAAGACAGTTAACCAGGGAGGTGAAAGAGCCCTACAATGAGAACTACAAAACATGCTCAAAGAGATGACAGAAACAAATGGAAAAACATTCCATTCTCATGGACAGGAAGAATCAGTATCGTGAAAAGGGCCATTCTGTCCAAAGCAATTTACAAATTCAATGCTGTTCCTATCAAACTATCAATGACATTCTTCACAGAACTAGAAAAAACTATTTTAAAATTCATATAAAATGAAAAAAGAGCTTGAGTAGTCAAGGCAATCCTAAGCTAAAAGAACAAAGCTGGAGGCATCACATTACCCAACTTCAATCTATACTACAAGACTATAGTAACCAAAACAGCATGACAACTTTCCAAAAACAGACACATAAACCAATGGAACAGAACAGACAGCCAAGAAATAAGACTACACACCTACAACTATCTTATCTTCAACAAACCTGACAAAAACAGGCAATGGGGAAAATGATTCCCTATGCAATAAATGGTGCTGGAATTGGCTACCCATAAGCAAATAATTGAAACTGGACCTCTTCCTTAGACCGTATACAAAAGTCAACCTAAGATAGATCAAAGACTTAAATAAAAACCAAAAACTATAAAAATCCTGGAAGACAATGTAGACAACCATTGTGGACACAGGAACAGGCAAACATTTCATGATGATGATGCCATGATGAGAATGGCATGGGAGAAAATGCCAAAATGGGAGAAAATTTTTGCAAACTCTGCTTCTGACCAAGGTCTAATATCCAACATCTATAAGGAACATAAACAAATCTACAAGAAAAAAAAGCAAGCCCATTAAAAAGTGGGCAAAGGACATGAACAGACACTTTTCAAAAGAAGACATACATATGGCCAACCAGCATATGAAAAAAAAGCTCAAGATCATTGATCATTAGAGAAATGCAAATCAAAACCACAATGAGATACCATCTCACACCAGATAGAACAGCTGTTATTAAAAAGGCAAAAAATGACAGATGTTGGTGAGATTGTGGTGAAAAGGCAATACTTATACACTGTTGGTGGAAGTGTAAATTAGTTCAACCATTGTGGAAAATAGTGTGGCGATTCCTCAAAGAGCTAAAAACAGAACTACAATTCAACCCAGCCATCCCATTACAAGGTACATACCCAAAACAATATAAATCATTCTACCGTAAGGACACATGCACACGTATGTTCACTGCAGCACTATTCACAATAGCAAAGACATGGAATCAACCTAAATGCCTATCAATGGCAAACTGGATAATGGAAGTGTGTTACATATATACCATGGAATACTATGCAGCCATAAAAAAGAACAAGATCATGTCCTTTGCAGGAACACGGATAAGGCTGGAGGCCATTATCCTTAGCAAACTAATGCAGGAACAGAAAACAAAATACCACATGTTCTCACTGATTAGTGGCAGCTAAATGATGAGAACACATGGACACACAGAGGGGAAAAACAGACACTGGGGTCTATCAGAGGGTGGAGGGTGAAGGGCGGGAGAAGGGAGAGGATCAGAAAAAAATAACTATTGGTTTATTTTTTAGTACCCGGTTGGTGAGATAATCTGCACAACAAATCCCCATGACACAAGCTTACCTATATTATAAACATGCACTTGTATCCCTGAACCTAAAATAAAAGTCTATTTTTAAAAAAAAAGAAAGACAGAAAAAATGTCTGCCTGATGGTAAGGGGTTAAGAAAGTATATATCAGAATAAACCATAGCTGGTTCTCAGGATAACTGAAAATAGTACATTTGTTCTATTATGTTATAGATTATTTAAACCAGGAAAATTAGTATTAATAACAAGTCCTATGAAAACTGATATATAAAAAGACAGATGAAAGAATGAAGGAGAAAATGTAAGAGAAAAAGAAATTTATCCTTTTTTCAAAGCTTTCCACAGAATCTTCAAATAACCAAAATTTGCCATGTATACTCCTATTCTACCATGTAGTTCTATTTTTCCCATAGGCCCAGAACCAGTATAAATCCCTAGGCAACATGCTCAGACAACAAAAGTAATGTACCCTCCCAAGGACCAATATGTGTACTGTTGAGCAATGATTCACTCAAGCAGATGTCAGAAAAGAAAGATACAGAAAAGCTAAACACAAGATGACTGCCAAATGGGATTCATAATTAAAGTCAACTGAAAATCCAATTTAATATAGAATATTTATTTTAACATATATTTATTACTTTCATAGGTTGCAAATTTCTCATAAGGACTTAAATTCTTCTACTTCCCAAGTATCACTTATACCCAGAATAAAGCCATAAAAATACCATATTAAGATAAATAAATAGGACTTTCCCAATATGATATCCAGTTTTCAAACAATTCTAGCAGCTCTATTACAGCTATTACGCAAAGACTGTCATCTCCACAGACTAACAAGAATAAAGTAGTACAATATATACAGTAAGATTTAATTTGCATTGTATTCTTATTTTATGACAACTCATTCTCCCAAAAAAGTTACTATGTAAGAAAGAGAATTCTCCCCCAATATGAAAAGTTGTTTACTAAGACCTTTTGATTTTAAAGCAATTAATAGAACAAGATCTAGAGAATTTAAAAGGTTTATTTAAATTCAGGAATATATAATTCAATCTCAAGGGTTAAAAGATCTTTCTAAAATCTATGTAAATAAAATTAAAATTAGATTTAAATTACTATGAATTTCCTTCTGTCAAATGAACCCCTTGTAATTTGTTATATAACTAATATCACATAAGTACCATATATAATACATATTATTTACTAACAATAAAGAAGACATTCACCAAAAGAAAAGTGAATTACATGAAGAAAGAAGACTTTGGATCCAGAAGACAAAAGATCTAACTCCGGAGAAAAGTGATGGGAATTCCAAGGCTTACAACAGTGAATTAGTCACAGGTACATAGAAAGCTTAGTAACAACAAAATACAATTATTAAACACAAGGAAATCAAATGTTATAAAGGAAAGAATAGCTATTAAGATACAACACAACTGTGACGTGAATAGTGTTAATACATGGAATGATACAAATTCTGAAATAATAAATGAACAATTTAATCAATCAAATTTAGGATATAAGCAAATAAGAACATGTGATGAAGGTTGGAGAAAGTGAAAGATAGCCAATTATCATTTTCCACAGTAAGAAGTCAATAAATAATGCTCCAAAATCAATATTCAGGAAAAAAACAAGAAAAGCTATGTTATTTTAAAATATGGAAGTAAACACCAAAATCATTCCTGAAAATTTGTGAAACTAGTTACAGCTAGAAAAGGAAACATTAAAAAATGAGTTCTTGTCCACTCCCGCACCACACACAAAAAAATGTA